CCTTGTATAGCTTTGGTTAAATTATTATTGGTTAGATACACCTCTTTCCATGACCACCCAGGAGGCAATAAATTCGCACTAGAAATAATGCAATTTATTGGAGATGTTTACGACCTCGTTATAGGATTCCCCATTAGTTATTTCTCTACACAGGGTGTATGAAAAAATAACTAACAGGCCTTCCTTTTTAATAGTACTGCAACAATGAAATCTTAAATTTATACAAGAATTTTCTATTTTTAGCTTTATACAGGGGTAGTTTGCTAATAACCTTTAGTCTAAGAATATTCCTAAAATAATATCCTAATTATTTGTATACAAATTTCCTAGGATTTTGACAATTTTTCTTGGATTTAAGTTTATGTGCTGATAATATCTGTGATAAGGCAAGCTTCTTAATTCCAAACTAGGATAGAGATGCTTCTGGCGCCTTAAGACTTTTTACGAGAGAAAGGATAACACCGTATAGCATTATGGATAAATACCTAACCACTGCATCTTATTATTTTAGGTAAGAGCTTAGAACACGGATACAATCATAATCTATGCAGTGGGGCGGATAAGAAAAACAGAACAAAATTTAACAGGTTTATTAATTCTAGAAAAAAAAAAATTCATTGAAGTATACATTATAATTGAAATGATAACACTTACATAGAACACCCAATAGGTGTGCTGGAGTTCCAGGTCTTTATAGACCTGGAACCTCTTTCCCTGGAAGAGGGCCTCCTCCACTTTTATGGAGCCGGGGATTGCTCCCCGACCCCGTAAAATCGCAACATGTTCCTAAATAAGAGCTAATTAAAATACGGTATGATGCATGAAAAGTACTTACAGATCCATATTTATGTATGAGATATGTTCGGAGTTCTCGTTCTACAAATATATGGTTAAACGTGTGATAGATATGCGGTGTATTTACCATAGGCCGTCTGCAAAGGCCCAAAGACGATGGCCGCACCTTGAGCTGAAAAATTACATACATTAAGTTTGATGAAAAATAGAAAAGAGCTCATTCTTACCCGCCATCCTCGTAACAAATGCCTATCAAACGATTTCTAGGAGGAGTTTTATTTATTGCTATCCATTTAGACAGGAAACCTGCACAGATTGCATAGCTATGTGACAAACGAGGTCATAGGAAGCTTGATACAAAGGGGGTATGCAGATAAACATTCAATAAAAATTTATATCCTTCACTCATCATATTCAATATCGCCATACCTGATATTATATAGGTAAAACAGTTGGTACAGGCCGGTGATAGATTTATATTATTATCGATCAAAGCACCCTATTAGTTTTGAAAATGCGTACGTATGCTCGTAGGTAGTGTATTATTGTAGAAGGAGGTCTACTTTGAAGGTGATGCGATAAACTTGAATACATACTTTTCGTTTCATTGACCAATTCCATATACCTTTTGAGTATTACCTCAACCTATTCAAAAGCCGGCTGTTTCACTACATCGACTATCGTTATGCCCTAGAGATGAGTAGATTTTAAATTTTGCTATAACTAAAGTTTAACGATACCTATATTCTATTATTTACTCACGAGCTGCCGCCATTGATAATTTCGTAAAGCGTAGCTGATGAAATAATTAGCTTAAGATTACGACCCAAGGACACCTATATAGTTGCATTGTTTTAATAGGAAAAGCATAAATTCTTTCTAGAAATTTTGCGGGACATGATAGTTAGACTCGAGGATATATAGGTGCAAGACTAACAGGAAACCGTTAGAACTTGTAGGCGTTTAAGCCAAAGGTGTCATATTGATAACAATAGAACCGAAGAAGCGCGTTATCTATAAAATTGCATTGGATGATGTGACCGCTTTATACTGAATAATACTATAATTTTGATTTTACATAATCAGGTATTTGTGTAAAAGCGCTCCGGATTTGCCGAAAGAGCTTGCAATTTATAATGGAAAGCAGGTGGCTTAGGTACAACGGCAAGCTACCTGGTTAATTCATAACCATCACGGAATTAAATGGGAGCATGGTCATACGCCATCCTACATGTTTCCAACTATACTTCGCCAGTTAATATCATCATCAGACCAAGTATACGTTCAAGGAAAAGAAAAAGTCGATTTCATTCGAAAAACTCTATCGCAAAATGTCGCCGAGGTGGAAGAAGAACCAGCTTTACCTAAATTAGAAGCATGTTGCTACTATCATGTACGCTCACTTTGCTGTTGCGCTTTATCTAACGTTTATTATATTTATAATACTCATGTAATTCAGTAATTTTCCAAATAAAACAACCAAATTCAATCATTTTTACTATATTGCAATTGATACATCTTAATACGACTACATAATATGGGCTCCAAAACAGCTGCAATGCGTTCTATTTTACATTTGAAGCGGTACCTATCTAATGCGATAGTTTCCCACGGACCCTTTCTTGCTTCTCTGTGAGCATAGGACCAAGCTCGCAAGATATAAATTTTATTTTGTTTCATTGCGTCAAGCATACAAACGAGTCTGAGAATGAGCTTTTTAAGCAAAACTTGCTATTGTACAGCTCTTTTTTCTTCCTTCTGATTTTCTTCTTCACATTACTCTTTCTTTTATTCCGTTCCACACTTTCCTCTTCATCGCTGATATCTCCGATATTACCATTTCTTCAATTCGGTTACATATTATTCTAATGTTAATTGATATCAGTATTGCTACAGTAAACTAACATTAATCGTTCCAAGACATTCATTATATTAGTTTTAGGATCATCAGGCATGCCAACAGTTGCATGATAGATATACAAAATCAGATTTTTAATCCAAGAATCGTGCGATTTGTCCATGTCATCCATCTAACGTAGAGCTTGTCTCCTTTACGCCTTAAAACTTTCTCGGATGGGTTGTTTTCTACATTTCTTTAGCATCGAAGTGTCCCATTATAGGTTCTCCTAATAGATCCTCAAGGTATATAGGATTACCAACCTTTAGCGACTTTAACAGTTTCGTAGAATAATTTGAAGTGTAGTCTCTTGCAAAAAATTATCAGCCTCACTATAAATGTTTTCTATACCAATCTCTACGGAGAACTTAGCCCTTTGTTACATATACGACCTTAGGTAATCTATATGTAGGGGAAATTTGCAATGTTTTAACCCAAATAGGTCCCACTATTTTCTTTATTATCTCAGGTAAAATATACTGTTCAAACCAGCCAGTTGTATGATCGTATCTAATTTCATCACTTTCATATTCAAATTTCCCACCGTTCTTGTTTTCCCAAACAATCTTCACTTTAAGTTTATCAAGAATTTGCGGTATTCTGCGTCGACATTTATCATCTTCACACATATACAGTTCTTTTCCGAATAATCTGCACAACACCTCTTTAATTTCTTTTCGCTCGGTAACGTAGACAGGGTCAGGTTGAGGCTTTTTGGTAGGATTTTTAATCGAATCCTCGAGAATTTGCAGCATCATGTTAAAGATTCGTTCTTCTCTCTCGCCATAATTTTCCTGATAGCATTGTTGACAACAAGTTTCAGAGTCATAGTACTTTATCCCCTTTCTGTCTTTTCTTAAAGTACTTCCAACGCGGTATCCTTCTCTCTCGCAGCAAATTTCACATTTTTCCTTTAGCTCAGGTCGACAGTCGCTACAGTTACAAGGTCTTCCCCAATTACACGCTTTAGACATCGTTGAAGGGCTGCTCTTCTCGACAACACAACACCAAATGGTTTCTGTCCTCTGTTCTGAACCCCTTTATGCCTTTACGGAAAAGCGAGCTATGGGAATTAAAAGGATCACACCTCCTTTAGGTCAGTTAGCAAACCCCGCTGGAACAGTTGGCAAAGCCGTTAGATCAGATAGGTAGAGCCCTTGGATCAGTTGAAAAAGCCGTTGGACCGCTTTCGAACTGCTTTGAACCGCTTTCGAACTGCTTTGAACCATCTCTGAACCGCTTTCGAACTGCTTTGAACCGATATTGGATCGCTATGAACCACCTCTGAACCGCTTATGAACTGCTTTGAACCGCCTTTGGACCGCCTCTGAACCGCTTATGAACCGCTTTCGAGCTGTTTTGAACCGGTTTTGGACAGCTTTGAACCGATGTTGGACCGCTATTGAACAGCTTTGAACCGGTTTTGGACAGCTGTGAACCGATATTGGACCGCTATGAACCGCCTTTGGACCGCCTCTGAACCGCTTATGAACCGCTTTGAACCGATTTGGTACCGATATGAATAAACAAACCCGTTGAACCTGTTGACAAGCTGATGACAAACCACCTGGACTAATTGGCAAACCCGTTGGACCTGGTAGACAAGGTCATTGTATTAGTTAGCAAGATGATTGATTCCTAGAGGATAAACCTGCTGGTAAGGAGGCTAAGGTTCTTAAATCGCATCATGCTGTTTCCCTCTCCACTACGCTATTGATTCATACCATCTATAAGTTTTTCCTATAATTTAGTCTAACTACAAGAGTGAAGGTGATAACATGTGTAACTGCTGGTCCTGTACATCATCGTCTGATGTTGCGACATCGCCATCATCAACATCATACGGGTATTTAGAAGAGGAATTAGCAGAAATATATTATCAAGCGACAAAGGAAACGTTAATTGGTGCTGTACGATACGTTCTCAGTGATAGTAAGGATATTGAAATAGGTTATAGCACTTGTTTTCATCAGGAACCTGTTTTACGCCTCTCTTGCAAGAGCGAGGGTTGCGGTGTCATATTGACTGTTGAAGATTGGAACAATCTTTTAAAATGGCAGCCCTATACCGAAATACAGCTATATCGATCAAAGAAAACAGAAAAATGTTGGTCTGCTGAAGACCTCATCTATGAAGACGTCAACTATGAAGATTACTATGAACCATTAAGTGACACTTTAGGCTTACTTTATAACTGGAAATTTACCGATGATTCGGATAAAATTATAACCACCATCGATATTCGACAATTTAATCAATCATGCTGCATGCATAGAAACGAGATTGAGGAGTTGTTCAACATGAAATATGCAATAAACTCAAGACTACAACAACTAGGGTCCTATAACTTCGCTACCTTTTACCGGATATTTATCAATAAAATGGTTGACTTGAAAAGAAGTAATAAGGAGACCGCGCCTATCGCTGATGTATACGAAGATGCTAGATACTTAATTAATCAGCTGTGCATAGAAGTATATTTCAGAAAAATGTGTTTAGAGGAAATCTTACATTACAATCCATCAATTATTGCTAATGATGTAATGACGAAGCTTCAGTATGTATAATAAAATTAAAAGTTATAGATCGAGATCATTTTATTATCAAATTTCCCATTCGAACGGGTTTCAGTCGTCAAGTGCGATAAAAACAGGAAAACCTCATTAAAAATAGCTACACAAGGTTTGATGATTGGAAGAGCGGATGCTGTTTCCTATTCCCGCCATTTACGTTTCCTGCTGATTAGCATATCCTGCTGATTAGGATATCCTGTTTACAACAGCGGATGTTAGTTTCCTGTTGACGTGCCCGGACGCTGTTTCCTGCTGATTAGAATTTACCGGATGCTGCTTCCTGCCGATGACCAGATGTTGCTTCCTGTTCCCGCCATTTACGTTTCCTGCTGATTAGAATTTACCGGATGCTGCTTCCTGTTGACGTGACCGGATGCTGCTTCCTGTTCCCGCCATTTACGTTTCCTGCTGATTAGAATTTACCGGATGTAAGTTTCCTGTTGACATGAACGGACGCTGTTTCCTGCCTATCACCAACATGCTATAAAAGGGGGTACATTATTCAGGTTCTTCCCATTTAGTCATTGTGATTTAATCTGATCCATCTGTAGGTGTGTTTGTTTTCTTAGCGATATATTGTAGGTGAGTTTAGCATTTCTCTAGCTTATTATCAGCAATTATTTAGCATTTTTAGCTTCAGTAATTATTTAGGCGAGTTTTTAGCATTTTTCTAACAATTATTTAGGCGAGGCTATTTTTAGCTTATTATTATTAGACGTACAAGATGTTTGCAGTTTTAGTGAAATATATTGCAGGTATTTTAGGCGTGCTTAGAACTAATTATAGCGATAAAGCAGTTAGGGAAGGTCTAGTAGAGTGCGATAAAGCTTCACGTAGGATTAGGGATTCTATGCGCGGATCTTGGTCTATAGGTGAAAAACAACATCTTGAGGCTTGCTTACGTAATATTAAGTCGATGCGTAAACATTTTAAATTAGAACAAAAGAGGGGTCATGGCTTAGCATCGAATAAAGGAACCTCCACTTCGGCTTTTAGTAATAGAAAAGAAACCGCAAAACATCGCGTTCATTGGGATGATTCCAGTTCGGCGTTTAGAAATAGAATACGAACTGGAGTTATCACTAATCTTAAACATAAAGACCCCGGCAACTTCTTAATGGACTGTAAGACAATCTTCAAAAGCCGAATTCATAACGCGTTGAAGCAAGATGAGGCTGTGAAAGTAAATGCGATTTTTTGCGGGGAATTTGCGATTACTCAAGGTGAAAAGATGCTTAATGAGTATAAGTACTTTACAACATCAAATGCGGCAATATATAGGGGTACTGATATAGAAGAGTGGTTTAAGGAGAATGTTGAGAAACCGATAATGACCAAATTATCGGAGTTCCAAGACCGTGACAGCGGTTGGGCCCTTAAGGCTGTTATCAATTTAGGGGTTAATATTAACAAATTCACACCTCAACTTGGCTCTTCATATATTCAGCTACCTTCACAAATTCAATCAAAAAAGTCATGCGTTAACGTTAAGAATGATGATGATGCCTGTTTTGCGTGGGCGGTGGTTCCGGCGTTGTATCCTGTTGATAAAAATCCCCACAGAATGTCTAAATACCCTCACTACTCTTCCGTGCTCAAGCTTAAAGGGATCCAGTTTCCGATGACTATGCGACAAATTCCGAACTTTGAAAAACAAAACAACATCTCCATTAACGTGTATATTCTGAAGCAGGAGAAAAAAGACCAGTTTAATACGTTGCCTACCTACCTAACGAAGGAAAAGAGGGATAAACATGTGAACCTGCTTTTAGTGCAAGACTGCTACGAACAATCGGTCAAGTTCCATTATGTTTGGATAAAAAATCTTTCACGGCTAGTATCGAAGCAGTTAAGCAAAGAAAAAAGGCAAAAGTATATTTGCGATAGATGTTTACATTTTTACCGTTCTGAAGATAAATTACATAAGCATACTAAGGATTGCATACAAAAGAATGATACAGCCATCAAGATGCCTACAGAGGAAAAAAAGATGTTGAAGTTTAAAAATTTTAAAAATAAAATAAAAGCCCCCTTTGTCGTATATGCAGATCTCGAGAGCGTTCTGAAACCTAGCGAGAAGAAGACCGCCTACCAACAGCATATTCCAGCAGCTGTAGGATACTACCTCAAATGTTCATATGACGAATCTCTTTCGTTTTATAACAGCTACCGCGGTGAGGACAGTATGCGATGGTTTGCTGATGAGATGAATAAGCTTGCGGAAGATGTATCTACAGTGTTTCTTTGTCCCTACAAGATGCATATGACTCCACAGCAGGAGCTTGAATTTCAAGCAGCAACGGAGTGCCATATTTGCGAACAGTCATTTAAATCTGGACAAAAGAAAGTTCGTGATCACAATCATCTTATCCCGGTGAACAACTTCCGCGGAGCTGCATGTGAGGGATGCAACGTCAACTATCAGGATACTCATACAATCCCGGTGGTGTTCCACAACTTGAGTGGATATGATGCTCACTTTGTTGTAGCAGATATTGCTACTAGAATGGATGGCAAAATTGACTTGCTCCCTATAACCAAGGAGAAATATATCTCTTTCACCAAACATATCGATGAGTCACGTGTCTCCTTTAGGTTTATCGATAGCTTCCGGTTCATGGCGTCGGGGCTAGATAAACTATCGTCAGCACTGACAGAATTTCCCAATCTCAAGGCGCAATTCTCTACACTACCTGCGGATCAATTTAATCTTTTAACTAAAAAAGGAGTCATGCCGTATGATTACCTCGACTCGTTTGACCGCTTCGAAGAGCCAACTCTACCTCCTCAAGATGACTTCTACAATAAGCTAGAAGATAAGCCCTGTCCCAGAAAAATGTATCGTAGAGCTCAGGAGGTGTGGGACAGATTTAACTGCAGCAACTTGGGTCAATATGTAGACTTGTACATGAAGACAGATATTCTACTCCTTGCAGATGTCTTTGAACAGTTTAGATCAAGCTGTATTAGCACTTATGATTTAGATCCGGCCCACTATTTTACACTACCAGGCTTTACTTGGGATGCCATGTTGAAATACACGCGACAAGAGCTGGAACTCCTTACCGACCAGGATATGTTCCTCTTTGTCGAGCGGGGTATTCGTGGAGGGTTAAGTCAAGTCTGCTCTAAAAGAAGAGCTCATGCAAACAACAAATATATGCCCAAATATGATTCAACGAAACCGGATGTCTATCTAATGTACAACGATATCAATAACCAGTATGGATGGAGTATGAGTCAATATCTTCCATATGGAGGCTTTGAATGGGTAGACTCCAACATCGATATCACTACGATTCCGGATGATGCAGATGAAGGCTACATTCTAGAAGTTGATTTGGAGTATCCACAGCATTTGCATGACGCTCACACTCTTTACCGTTCTGTGCATTATACATCAACCCGAAGACTATGAAACCGCCAACTGACTAAAGCGGAAATTTCAAAACTCATGGCGACCTTAAATAATAAAGAAAAATACGTCATCCACTATCGAGCCTTGAAGCAAGCATTAGCCCATGGCCTAATTCTCTCCAAAGTACATAGGGTACTCAAATTTAAACAGTCCCCTTGGCTAAAGTCCTACATTGACCTTAATACAGAACTAAGAAAAAAAGCCAAGAATGAATTTGAGAAGAACTTGTTTAAGTTGATGAATAACGCAGTCTTTGGGAAGACTATGGAAAATGTCAGAAAACGGGTTAATATCAAATTACTAACGCAATGGAAAGGACGTTACGGCGCAGAATCATACATTGCGAAACCGGAATTTAAATCTTGCGCCATTTTTAACGAAAACTTGGTAGCTGTAGAATTGAATAAGCTTGAAGTCTATTTAAATAAGCCTATATACGTAGGTCAAGCCATTCTTGATCTAGCCAAGACGACCATCTACAGCTTCCATTATGACTACATGATGGATAGATTTGGAGATAACTGCACAGTTCTTTACACAGATACGGACAGCTTAATTTATGAAATTCGTGAACAAGATCCTTATATGGCGATAAAAAACGACTGTTTTAAATATTACGATACTAGCGATTATGACCCCAATAACCCATATGGCATACCCCTTGTAAATAAGAAAGTGTTGGGCATGATGAAAGATGAAAATAATGGACAGATAATGACGGATTATGTAGGATTGCGATCGAAACTGTACACCACCAAAGTGTTACCCTCCAAGGATGATTTGATAAAATTACGGCAAAAATTAGAAGCGGAAGAGAATGAAGAGGATGAGATCGATACGATTATTAAAAATTTCGGTTTGATGAAGAAGGCAAAGGGTATAAAGAAAAGTGTAGTGGAGACTAAAATTACTTTTGACGATTATGTGGAGTGTCTGGAGACCTTTAAGCGCAAAACGACTTCCCAAAATTTAATCCGATCCAATAAACATCAGGTATATTCGATAACGCAGTCGAAAATTGCTCTAAGTCCCGAAGACGATAAGAGATATTTAATCCCAGGTACATTTGATACTCTTCCGTGGGGCCATTATGCTATCAGTAAGCCTCAAGATGTTCAACAGATGGAAATTGATTAAAGTGCAAATTTTTATTAATTAATTGCAGTTTTGTTATCTCGTTTGAATAATTTACCAACCCTTGACGAATTAATGAACCCTTTCAATTTATTTTGAAAGCGCCGTTCGTGCAGTCTCCCTCAGGTAAAATATTCAATCGATATAAACAAATTGCAGCAGATTATGGTAGGCCTGTTAATTATTTTTTATGCATATAAGAAATTGTTAATGGGGAATCCTATAACGAGGCTGTAAACACCCCCCAATAAAATTACTTTAATGCAATTTTATTGCCTCTAAGGTGGCCATGGAAAGGGGTGTATCATATCGAGCGAACCTCCGTACTCGATATTGCGGCTAATTGTTAAATTATTAATTAATAACTTTAGTTATAGCAAAATTTAAAATCTACTCATCTCCAGGGCATAACGATAGTCGATGTAGTGAAACAGCCTGCTTTTGAATAGACCGAGGTAATATTCATAAGGTATATGTTTTACCTATATAATATCAGGTATGGCGATATTGAATATAATGAGTGAAGGATGTAAATTTTTATTGCGTGTTTATCTGCATACCCCTTTGTATCAAGCTTCCTATGACATCGTTTGTCACATAGCTGTGCAATCTGTGCAGGTTTCCTGTCTAAATGGATAGCAATAAATAAAACTCCTCCTAGAAATCGTTTGATAGGCATTTGTTACGAGGATGGCGGGTAAGAATGAGCTCTTTTCTATTTTTCATCAAACTTAATGTATGTAATTTTTCAGCTCAAGGTGCGGCCATCGTCTTCGGAGGCGTGCAAACGGCCTATGGTAAATACACCGCATATCTATCACACGTTTAACCATATATTTGTAGAACGAGAACTCCGAACACATCTAATAGAAAAATATGGATCTGTAAGTACTTTTCATGCATCATACCGTATTTTAATTAGCTCTTATTTAGGAACATGTTGCGATTTTACGGGGTCGGGGAACAATCCCCGGCTCCGTAAAGATTGAGGAAGATGACTTCCAGGGAACGAGGTTCCAGGTCTTTAAAGACCTGGAACTCAAACACACCTATTGGGTGTTCTATGTAAGTGTTATCATTTCAATTATAATGTATACTTCAATGAATATTTTTTTTCCAGAATTAATAAACCTGTTAAATTTTGTTCTGTTTTTCTTATCCGCCCCACTGCATAGATTATGATTGTATCCGTGTTCTAAGCTCTTACCTAAAATAGTAAGATGTAGTGGTTAGGTATTTATCCATAATGCTATACGGTGTTATCCTTTCTCTCGTAAAAAGTCTTAAGGCGCCAGAAGCATCTCTATCCTAGTTTGGAATTAAGAAGCTTGCCTTATCACAGATATTATCAGCACATAAACTTAAATCCAAGAAAAATTGTCAAAATCCTAGGAAATTTGTATACAAATAATTAGGATATTATTTTAGGAATATTCTTAGACTAAAGGTTATTAGCAAACTACCCCTGTATAAAGCTAAAAATAGAAAATTCTTGTATAAATTTAAGATTTCATTGTTGCAGTACTATTAAAAAGGAAGGCCTGTTAGTTATTTTTTCATACACCCTGTGTAGAGAAATAACTAATGGGGAATCCTATAACGAGGTCGTAAACATCTCCAATAAATTGCATTATTTCTAGTGCGAATTTATTGCCTCCTGGGTGGTCATGGAAAGAGGTGTATCTAACCAATAATAATTTAACCAAAGCTATACAAGGTAGATCGATCTTTGATTGCTAGAATTAATAACACATCTGTTTTAAATCGTACGCTTACACGTATTATGAAGGTACTGCTCAAGTGTATCAATTTGATTTAAGAAGCGTGTCGTATCACAGATATTAACAGTACATAAAGTTAGCTTCCTTTCTCCCGTAAACAAGTCTTGAGGCACCTCCTCCCACCCAACGTCCATCTCTATCCTGTTCGGGATTAAGAAGCCTGCCTTAGCACGGGTATTATCACCATATAAACTTAAATCCAAGAAAAATTAACAAAATTTGTGAGAGTTTATATAACAGCACTATTCTAACTAGAGTAATAAAAATTTATATCCTAGCACTTTGATTGCAGGAATTAATAACACATCTGTTTTAAATCGTATGCTTACACGTATTATGAAGGTGCTGCCCCAAGTGTATCAATTTGATTTAAGAAGCTTGCCTTATCACAGGTATTATCGGCACATAAACTTTGATTCAAGAAAAATATTGATTTAGCCCCATACGAAACTTTTCTTAATAGCTGTAATTGATATGAAGGTTATATGATAAGCCTTTTCTTAATATAGATATAGCTAAAGTTGGTGTAATACATAATATTCACAATGTTATCTTATTTATCGCAACGGCATTATCCTCTACCTACTTCCCATCAATAAATCTAAGATATTATATAGGTATTATAATAATAAAGCTACGGCGCTTGCGACCGTTTAACCATGATGATGATGAAGGCAATCCTCCATTGAGGTTTGATATCGGCTAAAAAGATATCAATGTAGGCTTTATATTACAAAATAATTTTGATACTTACGGTCCAACTCTGATGTAGACGATTATTTGCGAACAGCCATATAAAATGATCGCCGAATAAATACAATAAAAATGTCACGCTTTCATTAAACTGCAAATTATGCGCGCAAGGACACGTATCCCTAAGAAAAGTAAATTATAAGCAACTAAAAATTGAAAAAAAAAGGCTTACCTGAGGTATATATGAAGGCGCCTGTCTAAGTAGGTGTATACACACATGCACTTATTGAAATCGGATTGCGGATGCACGCCGTTTTTAAATATTGCGGAACGTCGAATTTATAATTAGTACAGAACGTACTTCACCGTAAAGATATACACATTTCCTATTTCCATCATATTTCCCACCTTTTTTATGGGAGATTTTCGAACTTTACGCATTCATACACAATAAAACCCGTATATAGGTGTCGATATGGAAATGAAATGGGATAAAGTACCATATCAAATTCGCGAGCACGCGCTGCTATAAATAAACACTATCGCAAGATTGAAACTTCCCATACCAATTATTAGAATAATGACATCTGCGAACTCTGTTCTCTTTGAGGATAGCTTCTACGTCTTACTATAAAAAACCAGGGGGCTGCCTTAGACCCTAAGAGCTACTATATAAAACTAGGGGTAGTTCCTTGGGGATAGGATTAGGGGTTAGCTCCCCCACCCTACGAAATAGCTCACATCGGTATCTACAGCTCCTGACGTTGATGCTATAATTAAATACTATCGAATTATTGCGAGATTGCAGCATCCTCTCCCATAACCGCGGTTATTTTTTTCTCTAACTGATAACACATTTACATTCGTGCTTATTTAGCTGCAAATGTCGAGTGAGTAACATCTTCATATTGCTTTCACAACTTAATAGTTATTATTTTAGATCAAGAAATGTGCAATCATTTTTGCGAGGAGTCGAGGTAAACCTGCATGTATATTACTATACGTTTTAACCGTATATTTGTAGAACAAGAAACTACTATTATTTTCGGCGGGATAAACCCAGCGAGGTATAAAACCCCCCATGTATTACGTTTTAATTATATACCTATGTGTAGAACGGAGCGGGGATTTCCAATTATGAATAACAATGTCGGCATCCAAAAAAATAGGGGCGTTGCCGTCGTCGGTCCTCTTCGACGCAAATTTTATGTAAGTAGAGTAAGCGCTTTAATTGTAATAATAAACTTCAAATCGATATTTCAGATCTAAATAAAAACGCCCTACATTTTGTTTTTGTTGTTTTATTTCCCTACCCGCCCCTGTTCTGGTTGTAGGTTAGAATGGGGCCCCCTTGTGTATGTCTCTCAAATGGGGGAGCTACCTCCGAGATGGAATGATAGGTTAGAATTCTCCTCCCTTGCATCTCTCTCCTGAACCCTCGTATCTAACCGTTTGATGTCTCATCAATGCCGGGGCGCCGGTTGAAATTATACTTTCCTATACCTATACGAATCCTAATAGATGGCGACTCCGTTCCGTTAAAATAGGTTAGAATGAGGGACCTCGCACTTGACGACTGAAATTACAATTTCCTACCTCTATATGCATTACGACGCCAATAGATGGCGCCTCCGTACCCTTAAAATAGGTTCGTTATAAATACAACTATCCAAGCATTATATCATACAAGTCTAGTTAGCCTAGTGGTTATGCTATAGGACTTGTAATCCGATGGTTGGCGGTTCGAATCCGTTCCATTTAAAAAAAAATTTCAGGAGGTTCGATATAAATACAACTATCCAAACATTATACCATAATAGTCTAATTAGCTCAGTGGTTATGCTATAGGACTTGTAATCCAATGGTTGGCGGTTCGAATCCGTTCCATTTAAAAAAAAAATTTCAGGGTACGAAGGGGTCGAAGTTGAGGATTCTAAGATGGCGCGTCCAAGAACTTGAGGATACCAAGATGGCGTCCAAGAACTTGAGGATTCCAAGAACTTGAGGATACCAAGAACTTGAGGATACCAAGAACTTGAGGATTCCAAGAACTTGAGGATTCCAAGATGGCGTCCAAGAACTTGAGGATTCCAATAACTTAAGGATTCCAAGAACTTGAGGATACCAAGAACTTGAGGATTCCAAGAACTTGAGGATTCCAAGATGGCGTCCAAATGACGCCTGCGCAAAGATGGTGTCCAAATGACGCCTGCGCAAAGATGGTGTCCAAATGACGCCTGCGCAAAGGGGCGGAGCGCGCATGCGCACTGACCAGAAGTGCTCAAAAAAAGCCCAAACGAACCTTAGAATTCCTTATGGGAAATTACATGTAATTTGGCCGGAAGTTGCGCTAGAACCCGTGCAGCCCCTTTACTACCGTTGGGTAAAATTTCAAATTCACAGGTACAAACAGAGCAACAATTTTCAGTTGCATAGTAAATAGGATCTTTATATTTAACCTTCCTAATACTGGCTGGGGTCAAAAAAGACGCCAGCTTAACTTTCTCTGTTAAATTACATTCATCATTGCCTCGTTTTTACATAGTTCCGTGTAGTTGTAGGTAATAAATTACTTATCTTTTTATAACTTTCAAAGATATTTGCAAAAATGGCCTATGGGGTTTTACATGACCCCACCTGGTTACAAGTGTTACAAATTAAGTGATAATAATTTTTATAATTGTATTGCGGTAGGAGGGAGGACAGAGTCCACGCGTACCTAGACCTCAAATTCGGGCCCTTTGTACTACCTCCCTGACTAGAATCGCCTCACCCAGAACTCAAGATTGGCCTACATCAATACCTCTGCTATTCAACAACCCCTTATATTTCAGTCGCAAGGATGCCAAAGTGGACTGCGGTCTCACGTAGAGATCTAGTGGAGGCAGGCCCAGAAATGCCTCCATTACGGCTCTGGGGGTTTCTCGCATCGCACCCGTGCATACAAGGCACGCAAGTCTCTGAACAGGTATAACGAAGCACCCGTTTTCCGCCCCGAAGTACATTTGGTATCGAGTTCGTCGCTTTGTTACGAAAGAGTCCCGGAATGTAAACATTTGCTCGATGAGTGAGTTGTTTGTATTTCTATTTTTGTGTAATCGTTTATTTTACCGCCGCTAAGTACGTAAGTCAGTTTTTTGCAACCCTTCCGGTGGGAATAATTAAATTATTCTTACAGCCGCCGAATGCTCTCTTGCCAGGGAAGAAGGGATCCAATTAATGTTTTAATATTTCAGCGCCGCCGTTAATTAATTATTAAGCATTTGAGATTCCCATAATAACAGAAAACCAGGATAGAAACGGGTTCCAAATCGAGTTGTTGACACGTTATCAGTTTTGCAGACACCAGTGCAGACATGTCGGGGTGTAGATAACTACAACAGTTGTTGCGCGGGAAAATTTCAATGAACAATAGATATTAATTGGATTGATTAGTTTGTTTGCGCCTAATTGGGTTAATGAATGACAATTTAATGAGTTGTAGAAAAAACCGACAGACAACGTCCAGAGTTATATCAAAATGATCGCACTTAAAACGAGAAACCCGACGTCTATCTTACATTTTTCCGAAAATTACAGGCTGAGTAATTAATTAAAAGCTCGAATTAATCGCTTTCAGAGCGAATACAGCGACGAGTTGGACATTCCCCTGCTGCACTTCCTCCAAATTGGGTTTTCTTTATAAGCTAACGTTCAATTTTTGAAGAATCTCTTTTGCATTTTACGTACAGTAAGTAAATCTATTATCTTTTGCCTTCTTACCGTCACTAGTAAGTAAATACCGCCGTCCAGTCAAATTAGCATCAAAAGTAGTCTAAAATGGATGCTGTCACTTCACTCAACGAGACCAAGTGTATTTTATATAAAAAAATCCGCTGAATCCGAAAATCATAGTCCCCCTTGCCGGAAACTCCTGGACCATATTGTTATAAATATACTGGTTCACTTTTATAAAAAACAGCGTTTTAACAGGTTCTAGGGGCATTTCAGACAACATTTGGCCAAATAGGCGTTTTTTACTAATTTGGACCTGCTGAACACGAATATCGATGTTGGCACCTCGAAATCTGAACAGGAAGTCCAGAATTCAACATGGCGGCCAATTTCCGAAAATGTTGATATTTTCACTCATGCGACCGATTTTTTCGATCTAAAATCAGATTATAATGTTATTCCTGACGGAGGTATGACACGATAATAATAGTGAACAAATGTTTAAACAATGATTTCATAGTTTTTCTAAAGCCTAATTTACATTTGGCGGAAAGTACTTTCTGCCAGTAAACTTGCTACCCTATTTCTATTTAACTGGCACTTTCCGCGCATTTACACGTGGCAAGTTTACTGACCGACAGTACTTTCCGCCAGTAAACTAGCCAAATGTAAATTAGGCTTAACGTCAAAGTGCGTAAAAGTGGATTCCTTTTTTTCATAGTACTATGGCTACTGTTTAAATTTCTTCACATCGTGTAATTATTAAATTATTTCTGTTTTGGTAAGCATTTTGGTTCCTGTGCGTCGTGTGAAAGATATCCGCGATGGTCCATAACCTCATATGGAAGAATTTCCTTTTATTAGAGGAAGAAATCTTGTCGCATCACCTTGAAGAGGCCTCATTTGACGGCGTACTGGTGATTGCGAGAGTCTTCAATGATGAAAGAAAAGTTTTCTGTAACCGTCAGACGACACAGATTTCCTCCTTGGAAGCTTTTCACTTCAAGGAAGCGGATACTAGAAAAACGCTACAGATACAGATGCATTCCTGTTGCTTCTTCATCACTTCGAGATTTCAGGAGCTGCGAAGCTTTAGATCTAACAATTCTGAACTCCATTCTCTTGCGATTCCATCTAATCTTCTCTAGCATTTCATCCTTTTCCATCATTACGGCATATCAGGCGTAAATCTCAAGATGTACTTTTTTTATCTTATAAACTATGAAATGTCGCTCAGACTACCTTATCTATCCTGAATTGAAAATAGCTACATTCCCATTCTCCCAACGTTAGATTAATTCCGAAGGCTGCTCTAGATATCGTCCTTTGTCGTATTGCTCGTCAAAACTTTGTAAAAATATCGCAAAGCTCAATTGATTTGTACTACCTAATTGTCAATAAGACGATTGACCTAACACCATGAGAATAACTAAGGTATTTGTAATTTGTATTCACTTTTCTATATGCTTTCATCCCTTAATAATAATAATATATCCTGAGGAATGGTAATTAATACCTAGCAAAATCAGAATCTTCCGAAACACCGCAGTATAGTTGAACTCCCTTCATTTTTTTCATTTAAAAATTAACGTACAATTCGAAAGATTGTAGTTATCAAAACTTTGTAAGGAGAATTATGCAATATAAACGCATGTCGGGAATACTTACATGTGTCAGGATTACTGGAAACAATCGTTTTGCAAGTCCTCCTTTTAGCAAGGGGAACTGGGAATTTCATAATCCTTAATTTTACGCATCCTGCATCCTCCTATTACATTATTGTTAAAACAATAGTTAACTATTATTATCGTGAAGTACCTCAGGAATAACATTATAATCTGTTTTTAGATCGAAAAAATGGGTCGTTTCTAAGGAGGAAATCTGTGTCGTCTGACGGTTACAGAAAACGTTTCTTTAATCATTGAAGCCTCCAGCAATCACACGACGCACAGTAACTAAAATGCTTGCCAAAACAGAAATAATTTAATACTTACACGATGTGAAGAAATTTAAACAGTAGCCATAGTACTATGAAAAAAAGGTTTCCACTTTTACGCACTTTCAGGTTAGAAAAACTATGGAATCATTGTTTAAACATTTGTTCACTATTATTATCGTGCCATACCTCCGTCAGGAGTAACATTATAATCGGTTTTTAGATCGAAAAAATCAATCGCATGAGTAAAAATATCAACATTTTCGGAAATTGGCCGCCATCTTGAATTCTGGACTTCCTGTTCAGATTTCGAGGTGCCAACATCGATATTCGTGTTCAGCAGGTACCAATTAGTAAAAAAAGCCTATTTGGCCAAATGTTGTCTGAAATGCCCCTAGGACAGAGAATCTTCGAACAGTGAACCAGTCTAAAACAAAAAACAAAGAAAAAATGGGATAATCTCGTGTTTTTCGCATTTAACTTCAATTATCTCGATAACAATAATTGCTCTAACAGAAAAAATGAAGAGAAATGAATTTTCCTTAAGATAAAATTGGTTCGGAAATTTCATTTGCAAATGTTGTGTTTTACGGAAAAATATAAAAAGGGAATCCCGAAAATTAACAATCTGTTTTTACAAGTAAAATTCATGCGATCTTTTTGAAAATCCGTATTTGGTCACTTCTTTTGATGACAGAACAATATTACAAACCCGATCGCCGTAAGTATCATAGTCATTGATTAATTAAATGAATAAATTAAAAAAACGACGCTTTCTCTTTCACATTCGGGGACTCCCAGTGCGTTCTCAATTTTCTTACAGAACTCTAAAGCAAGTTATTTCAACAATTATTGTCCCGATGATTCTTGCAAATCGACGGACTGTGGAATTTTTTTTCAAAATCCGAAGAATTTTCTTAGTTAAATGGAATAATTTGCAAATACAACAAGAAATGTAAATCTATAATAGGCGAATGGAAAGCTCTCGGAAAGACCTACTCCTACATTTAAAAAAATACCTCTAAATCCGATTAATAGTTCACGAGAATCAGTTTTTGACTTTGGGCTTGTGTTTGAAACGACCAAAAATGATTTTGCAAATCGGGCCGAATCGAACGATTCTTTAAAGCTTTAACTTTTCTTATGCTTCTATTTGACCAAAATGTATGATTTTTATTAATCAAAATGCCAACGGCCTATTATAGAGTTACATTCTAGGTTACATTTCTTATTATATTTCGGGAGTTATT